TCCATTTTTAAATACAGAACCTTAATATGTGACCTCAACATATTTTATTTTCTACAGGGTGTATGACAAATTTATTGTACATAAAATGTTATCGGGTCTTTCTATTTTTGGGGGGAAAATGGGTGATAGATATTTTTTAAATCAAAATCATTCATAGCACATAGTGTGTTGCTATGATAGGTTTTGAACCCTGTAAAAAAATTGGTCCTCATTGGTTGTTATATATATATATCTTTTATGACTGAATATTTTTTTACAAGGTCACTATTCATAGTGATAAAGCTGCATGTGGTTGTTCCCATGGGGTGTGTTCGGGCGAAAACGTGGAAAATATACTTAGGGTTACGTAGCATTATATTTGCAGGTGATCTACCCATTCACGCAGAACTCAGCTTTCTAAAAACCATTGACCTTGGGTGTACAATTTAAGGTAAATATGCAAATGATTAGTTTCTATCCCATGATTCTTTTTTTTTTTTCACTTTTCTTCTCTTAAAATAAAATTATCTTCTGTGTAAGACTCCACAAAAAACTAGCACGAACGCACATAACCAATTTTGGCTGTGCGCCTTTTAGCTGCAACACAAAAAAAGTGGTTATTAGGTGAAATATGACCTCCAGTTCAATCACTGCAAAGACTAGATCGTATTAGGCGCGAACTTTTTGTCCTCTTGTTCATGTCCTCGTTTGGTTGTCGTTCATAATTGTGCCGATGAGCACAGCCGAAAACATTTGCCTTCTCGCCCCCACATTGTATCTTACTCCTCGTCATCATGACAGGAATGAGAAAGATACTATCCTTTACAGTTAGGAAAACAATGTGTTGTATAAACAAAATAGTGACATAATTTCCGTCACGAAAACCGATTTTCGAAAAATCAAAAATGTAGTTGCAACGTCAGCAGGCTGTCTGGTACTCATTAAAAAAACGGTTTTAAAAAATCGATTATTTTGTGTTTATCAGTAGAAACACACCCATAGTCTGTTGGGTATTTTTAGGACCTGTACATAGTAGAGCGGCTAAGGTTGAATTTCAGGTAGAATCGTGCACTTCTGGAAGAAAGCATGAAACTTCCCATAGTGATACTATGACACCTAAAGATCATTAAAAAAAAATAGACTCCTCCTAATGGCCGCCATCTTGAAATCCAATATGGCCGCCAAAATAATTGATTTTTAAGTCAATATATTCATATCTACAGCACGTCATTGCCAACTGAAGATCATTACCCATGTTTTCAATATCAATGAGTGTAATGCAATCATCAGAAATTGTCAGATGGCGCCGACCTGTTGGATTTCAAGATGGCCGCCAAATAAATGATATTTTTGTCAATATTCATATCTGCATGTGTACATACCACTGTCAATCAAAGACTGTTGCCCATGTTTTCGATATCAGGGACTACTATACAGCCATCAGAAATTATGTCAGAAGACCACCATATTAAATTTCAAAATGACCGCCATCTTGAAATTTAATATACGATACGATACGATACGATATTCTTTATTGTCATTTGAAAGGTGTGATAGATTATGTTACGTTACTGTTGATATGAATATAATGACAAAAATAACAATATTTTGGCAGCCATCTTGAAATCAAATATGGCGGCCATCTGATATAATTTATGATCACTGCATAATACTCCCTGATATTGAAAACATAGGCAAAGACCTTTAAATGACAGTGCTAGGTGCTGTAGATATGAAGATTATTGATAAAAATCCAATATTTTGGCATTTTGAATTTCATGATGGCGGCCACTAAGCGGCTTATTTTTTGGGGTCTATTTTTTTTAATGATCCATAGGTGTCATAATATCACTGTGGGAAGTTTCATGCTTTCTTCCAGAAGTGCACGATTTTTCTCCTTAGCCGCTCTTACTAACAGTGTCAGAAATTTGGTTATATAATGGTATGATACCAGCAAGTCTTATAATACAAGGTACTACTGTAATAAGTATTTATGGGTCTACATTTGTATCAAAACATTAGTTATTAGTATTTATACATTTCCTATTATTTTTCATCATGTTAATTTTTTAAAACCACAGCGGACACCATGATCTACTGCTTCAATAGAACTTAACATGAAATTTAAGCAGAGAAAATTATCATTTTTGATGTACCGTAGTCTCGGAGTGTTGTGTAAGTGGATTTACATCAAACTTGCATAATAAGCTTCTTTTCGATGATTCACTAAGATTTAGCTCATAAGCGTTGTAAGTGATACATGCTGGATCTCATTTGTAGCTCATTTTTCGACGGGTATGGTGATGCTGTAGCACCATTGCAGCTAATAAGCTTGCTAGTAATACATACTCTAGCTGATATATTTGTTGACAAAGTTCTGTGATAATGCATTACACATTTGCATTAGGCTTATACAAAGATTATGGTTGTAAGTTGCTGTTATGAGTTTTATTTTTGAATAGAGCAACTAACTGTTCTTTACAAGTCTAAGTGATTGAAGCATAGGTAAGACAAGTTTCTATGGATTTTACCATGTTTTGATATGTACAGGTATGCTAGGTCTCTTGTTATGGAGACTTAGAAATTAGAGTTTATTTTAGTCCTGATAAAAATACAGATACAGGGTTTTAGAAGCTTGGATTAGAATTTGAATCTTAGCAACATAATACAAAAATATTCATGATTGCATGTATCATACTCAATTTTATAATAATATTTTGTATGATAAATATATAATCAATATAATCAATAATAAAAATAATTGATATTTTTCATTCAGGCGTTTCCCCAGGTTTGGACTTCGATTCTGGATCCTCTCCATTTGCTTCTGTTTTCCTGAGTTTGATTTTTCTGTAAATGTGATGTTTTTTAGGGTTTTTTTTATGAGATTCAATAAAATGAATAAAGAAAAAAAAATCTTTAAAATAAATACAAACATTTCTCTGTGCAATGAGCCACAATTTCTAAAATGTGATAAAATCTAGTCTTTTAATTTTTGTGTCTGTGCCCCCTCGGGGCCAGGGTGTCCGATACCCCGACAAGTTGGAAGATTTCCCAGATGAGAGCAAAGTGGGCGTGGACAAGCGTCACTTTTCACAATTTAGGGATTTCAAAGGCTTATTAATCGATTTTAGTGTCTAAATATGTACAAAATACATATAATTTTTTTTCTCCCGACGAATTGAGGTTTTTCTTCCTGATAACCGAATCCCATGTCGATACTTTATTAGTAAACATAATACAGTAAGGAAGTATAGGGCATAGACACACGCTCCCGCTGGGAGCCTGTTTTTTTATTATCTGTAAGAATAACTTCTTTTAAAAAGCAGTCACTTGAGCTATGAAAGAAGTGATTATCTTGCCTTGACTGCTAAGATTTTTGTTGATGGAAGTTTGCTAATGCAGCTTGGTCATTTGATATCTCTTGTTATATGAAGCTAAGTGCGCTCTTGTAAACATTATTAATTTTCTTTCCAGCCACCCTTTTAATTGCTAATCTTTTTACCTTAACTGACGAATCTCCCAGATGTTCAAAAGTCAATTTGATGTCCTTAACCAGTTTATATACTGTATTCCACAATGTTTAGTCTCATCTTAAATGTTAAATGAGGTCAATTCATTTCCAAATGTACTGTACATTAACATTTCATCAACATCTTTATCATCCACCACCATCATCAGCATCATTATTACTCGACACCATCACTTACCACTATTGTACTTACCACCATTGCTGCTGCCACCACTGTCATTTTCACAATCATTACCACCATCATAATACCACCGCCATCATCATTACCACACCATCATCATTACCACCACTGTTACCTTTTTAATATTTTCTTCACCATGATTGCTACCATTATCATTGTAATCATTATCTACACTATTTCTATAATAGTAACATATCTATCATAATCAACATTATCTTCACTTTATCATTATCATTGTATTCATCATCTTTGCTATAATAATAGTGATCCTGACCACCACCAATTCTATCATCATCTTTCTCATTTTCATCATCATTATATTTATCATCATCTTCATCATTTTGATCATCCACCATTACAATATAATATTCCTTCCTATTTTCCCATGCATAGATTTTTCTTTTAGAATTTTCCTTTGTTTATTAAAAGAGGAACTCATTTATGTGAAATACTTAATAAATCATTTTGGGGTTAATTTTGTGTATTGGTTGCAGAACAAAAAATAAGGAAATTATTACTAAAATTTCCCCATTATTAAATTGAATTTAATACAGGAAATATATTTTAACCACAGTGTTTGAAAAAAATGATAGAAAAAAATGTATAGGCATATACTCACACTGTATTAGTTTCCCTTTTTGTTTAACCACAATTCATATTTGATCACATGCTATGTGTAATAATAGAAGGAATACCTAATTTATAAGATAAAACAACCATGCTACAATTTTACAAATGTAACATATAGGTAATCTCATAGCGATACTATTTTAAAAAATTGTTGTAATTCTTTTACGAGTTAATAGCTGTTGTATTCGATTTTATTAAACTTGTGTAGGACGATGTGGAATAAAGAGAGGATGCTCTTCAAAACTCGTTAAACTTTCAATTTAATTTATGACACATAAAAAATATATTGGATATTAAAAAAGTAACTGTACATTTGTACATTATTTTATGGTTTATTTTTTTCTCTGTGTTGTTGTAGTGCCTCAAGGTTGTGACAATGTGAGGTGCTATATAAATATTATTATTTATGTATATATATATATTTATGTCTAGTTATAATTTTTAATTGAAAGCTATAACATGTATAGAAAGTATACGCAATCCTTATTGATCATTGATGAAAGAAGATCAGCAAAACTACTCTGGGAAATATCACTAGTACAAAAAAGTCTTCCAAAAAATCTAGAAATATCAATGGATCACCAGTAAATGAAATTACCATATTCATCAGATATGTAGTCTGCAGTATGACAACATGCATGCAACATAAAATTTGTCATCTCATTTTGATCTTTACAGGTGCTGTTGACCACGCTCAGACAGAAGGCAGTGCTTCTCTAGGCCCAAGTATTAACATTTACCCTCCAAAAGTGTCCAACCGCCCCAGGGGAATAATGGCTGAAATCACTACAGAATCCTGGATGGCAGTTAACTCCACAAGTGTACAACCTGGTGCCATTCAAGGCAGAGGAATTTTCACAAGCATGTTGACAGTTTATGGGCATATTGCATGTGAGTATAATCACACAATTATTTTAATGAACTTCAAATTAGTATTAAGGGTAGTTAAGCTGAACGAAACTGCATTTTCGGGTGCTGCAGATACAACGGCATGTCCAAATGCTACAGGCCAAACGCCACAATGGAAAATGGGGATTTTGGTCATGAGGTTCAAGTGGGTTCCAAGAAAGCATTCTCTTGAAACCAAGAATTTTTGTGCAGAGTATTAAAATGCAGTACATCAAAAAATGAGTTAAAAAAAAAAATTATTTTGGAAATGCTACAGATATTATCTATTATGGTAAGTTTGCAATACCATTTTTTCTTTAAGACGCTGTCATATGATTCATTTATTAGCAGCATATAATTTGATGTGCTGCCCAGTTTATTGTTAGAATTGGGTTAGGTATCTGTTGCTTTTCTGAATAATAATTGTGAATTAGAACACTGGCTGCCTTTAGCGTTACAATCACATTCATGAAGAATGTGATATTGATTATATTGATCTGCGATGCAACTCAGAACTCGTAATCGAGCGGGAAATAGTGCATAATAGAGCATGAATGTGGGCCATTTGATAACAAGAGATCGATTGAAAATATAGAGGCACCTTGATGTTACAGTAGTTGACAGAAACTTTTGGGCCATTTCAATGCATGTTATGTTAAAATGTTTTATTCATGTCCAATAATGTATTGCTAGTAATGAAGTAAATATCTTTTACTTTTTACCATATAGTTAATTTTGGTAATACAAGGCAAAATAAAAGTGCTAATTTTATGTCCCCATCCTCATCAAATTTTGGTGCCTCATAAGCAAATTTACCATTTACTATTTTTAAAAAACAAAAATATTTTTTTGATGAAAAATAAAAACAATGACGATTTGCCTGAGCCTAAGAAGAGGTGGAAACGTAAATGGCAAAATACATTACAAAATTAATAAAAAATAGTTTTTATTATTTCGCTTCACATTCAGATTACCTTTGTCAACACGCAAAAAAAATGTATTATGACATTTTTTTTTAAATTGCAAATAATATATAAAGTAGAAATATGCCTCGCCATAAAATAATTTCAAATCTTGGACGTAAAACTACAATTAATTTTATTTGCCCTAAACTTACTGTAACTCTTTGGGGTTTTTTGTTTCAATACTGGAACTAGAAGTACCGCTATGTATGTACTATAGGATCCAAACTAATTTTCAAACTGCTCTCTCCCTGTCTTACTTGACTACAACCAATTAAGTCTAATTTACTTCTACAAATATTCTTTACCAGGCAAATTAAGACCAAGCTTTTAATTTTTACCTTTTTTATTCTTTTAGCCAATAAAGAGGAATTCATTCTCTATGTTGTACTTGGTGTCTGTATTGGGATGATTCTGGCCTTGATTTTTTTTGTTTTTGATCTGAAATGGAAAAATAAGAAACTGAAGAAGAAAGTTAAAAGTAAAAATCCAGCTTCCGATTCAGGTAAAAGAATTTTTCATAATATTATTAAAATAAAGAAATATTTTTAATTGTATTATATTTACCACATATTACCATCACCAAAATAAACATGCTGTTGATAATATATTGGAAAACTGTTTACTTACTGCATATGATTATTTTTTTACTGTATTGAGATTACATTTTTTGTACGATTCCAATGTTTCTTTCAATAGTACAAAGAGTGACTGATGTGACTCATTTATGGTTATTTCATTTTTAGCCAGTATGTTATAGGATACCTTTCCATTATTAATTAATTAAAACATTTCTTATTTGTCTTTCCCTAAGGCAACAATCAATCTACCACTGGCAGTGGGAATGATCATACAGACAATAGCAGACCAAGGACCGTGCATTTAAGTATTGACGAAGCTGATCGAATGGATATTAATGAATTATGGAGGACAATGACCCCTACATCCACTTTGCAGAGACGAGAAAATAACAACAATCGCGTTACCTCACAGGTCTGGAGTACGCCACCACCGCACTTAAGCAGTCGCGAGGACAATTCGCATGCTTCGTCGGATAACGGCCCCACAAATCGTCAAATGGAGAATAGTGTTCATCATAGTCTAGAACGGGGAAGTCGCTTTCAAACACTAGAAAGGGACTACGGAGGATATGCACGGATCCCGACTATAGAGCCAGACAGTGGACTTTATGCAAGAATTGATAGTCCTCCTCAAACTCACGCAACTACAAGTTTTACTTATTCAAACCATAACAATGGTAAATCTGATAAAGATGAAGAGAGAGATGGAAGTCCTCATTATCGTCCAAATATAGGACGGGATCACAAAACACTGGAACGAAGTGCAAGTTCGTATGATAACGGACCGGTATATAGTCAACCTAGAGAGCACCCGTTCAAAATAAATTCATCCCGCAAACCACAACCAGCAACTCCTTATAGTGGCTTATATGCAACAGTCCAACCTAAATCAATGCGCAATGGTGGGAGTAATGCCAATAGATTAGACCGTAGCACATCGCTATCTGGTCAACCTATAACAACGTCAGTACAAGAAGTAGATCAAAGACAACAATATTCAGTCAGTGGTGCCATTCCAAAACAAACTAAACCCGCCAATGGCATTGTCCACAACCAGGACCACTCCATTCCTGCTCCCATGAACAATGATAGTGGTGTGGGTATGGTGGTAATGAATAGCATAGGACATGAACACAAGGAATCTGAGCAGCCTTCAAAGCAAGAAACAGAACCAGCATCTACGGACAATTTAGAATTTGATCTAGATCATGCGCTTGAGAATATTCTCGGGCCTGGATTCGGGAATTTCAATGATATCTGGAACCGCGACAATCTACCAGGAACACAGAACCTTAACAGCTATTTCTAGAGGGTGTCCTACACCAATGTTTTATGGCATTTGGTGCAGAAATCCTGAGTAGCATTGTTAATTTATGGTGAAATTATGACAATATTGATTGTGCTGTTTCAGATATTCACTGAGTTCCTTAACAGTATAGTTAGCTAAGTTCTGACGGGGAATGTTATTAAACAGAAGTCTTGTAGATGCTCCTATGTTTATAATTAATGAAAGAACCAATTCAGGTAATAATTAATTAGATGTTGTATGTTTACATGTTGTAGTGTGCAAGCACAAAAACTGGTTAAGTCTGCTTGTTCTTCTTGTCTTATGAGCTGGAAAAAAATACTATTTTGTAAATAAAATTTGTGATTATTTGTTTTTTATGCTCGATAGTAACTGCAGGCTTAATAATGACAATACAGCATATATTTATTCAAAGCCATTTGTCTGTTTCTTTCAAATGAGAGTGACATGCGACATTAAATATTACCAATAGTCACTGGATTTTAAAATGACAGAATTTAGTTTAAAAATAGAGGGCGCTTGTCAAATATTGTAATGAATTTGTATGTTGCATCCACTTGTAAGTGTCTGATCATATGAACATTTCTTAAGCTCACAAGGTTATTCTTTTATAATTTAGCTGTATTTTTGTATGTTTGACTTGCAACTCCTCAATCAAAACCAATAAATTTAGTAAAAATCTTTTTTAAAATCACGAAAAGTTCCTTTTACAAATTGTGTAAAATTGTTCCTGATTTTCATTTGTTAATAATTTACCTTTGGTGATTTGTGCCAAACTTTTGTCCGGATAAATCGTTTGTTTTTTTTTATAATTGGCTCAGAGACTAATCTAAATTATGAATGATGTAAATTATAATAACATTGTAGAATAAATAAATGACTCAAAATTGAATAATAATTAATATTATATAGCTAATATACAGCTTTTGTATAAAAATATGGCTGTGTGTTAAAAATGTGTGAAAGACTATAAAATCAAACCAGCTTTTTTGGTTATTTATTATGTACAGTATATTGGGTGCTAATGGTAAACTTTTTCGTGTAAAAAAATACTTTTTTATAAAGAAACCTTTATTATTTTTAAATCTACTTTGGACCTAATATGATGAGACCAAATTTATTATGTTAATGTTATGGTTTTTGTTAAAAGCTCTCTATGGGTGAAACTTTTTTATTTTGTTGTTTTACTTATGCAATGGTGGTCTATAAAATTTGTTGCCAAATTATAGTTTTGTTCATAATTTATCATTTGTACATTTTCATGGAGAGTGTTTCTCCAATGCAAATTTAGTTTAGAATTTATCAGGGTATTTTACATTTTGTACAGATATGACCAAAACTATTTAATTATTGGTCATAGAATGAAGAGGACTTATTGCTTATGTAGAATGTAGTTTCTATTTGCCTCATTTGAACAAAGCTTACTTCTTATGTCTCAAAAATTGTACAATTTAAAGTAACAGAAAACTTGCATGGTAAACTAAAATTAATGGGTGCTAAATTTTGTAATTTGTTCTTTTTAAAGAGGTTATTTCTTAAAAAGCTGCCATATTAAGTAGGTTTAGAAAATATCTAAATCCTTTGAAAGAAAACAAAGACAAACTATGTTATATGATAATAATGTATGCTTAAGTCTTCCAACTTGCTATAATAAATTGCTTGTTTAGAACCTATTATATTTTTATATTAAAGCTGCTGAATTTGAGATTATGTTAGGCAAAATTTTGTCCATTATTTGCTAGCTTTCAGTTTCCCACCGAATTTCCTGAAATAAAAATTGATTTTGATAAAATTTAATCGCCTTGCTATTGGAAGCTTGAGCATATTTGGTTTATTCTATATTGCTCTTAGATTAGGAGAAAAAAAATTAATTCCATATGGTAATTATCCAGAGATTTATTTAGAATTTTTTTAGTAGTCCATTCCATTCATATAAAAGGTATGTAACCTTTTAGATCTTCCCACCATATAGTACTGTAGTTTCTCATCTGTAAGTGCGCCCGCTACATTACGGCCAATTTTACATACTCCTGTAGGGTATAATTTGAATGAACAGCTTAGCAAAACATTACAATTACTTTCAGAAAAAAAAAATTACTCTCAGAAAAAAAAAAAATTTAATATTGTCTCTGCATTACCCATGCAGTATTGAAGAATTGGATTGAGAAGGGGGCTGCCAGGATAATAGCTCACCCACTCCCATTCTAAAATCGGCCTAATTTTGTGTTCCAGGGGATGAGTATACCAGAGGAAATATGGTAGTAATCTCAATAGAGGAATCATTGAAAGGTGATTCTGCAAATGCTGAAGTAAGCCTTTACAGATCACAACTAAATTCTCCTACAGTATACTGGAAAAAGTATGTAGTTTTAGTGCAATAGATATTTTCCAAAATGTATATTTATTTGGTAGTTATTTTTGTTATTGTTGTGGTATGATTGTGCTGTTTGAAAGTAAAGCTCGGTTTCCATAGAATCGCTCACCCTGTCGGCAACAGTCACTGACAGCTATCGGGCTGGTTGAACCTGGTTCAACTTTGCCGATTGTGTTGCAGACGAATCAGGGTGCCTTCCTGATTGTGTCGGGGCAACTAGCAATGCACCCTAAAGTTGAACCAGGTTCAGTCTTCCCGACAACTGTCGCTATTAGGGTGTGATTGTATGGCAACCGCACTTTGGCCTAAATTAGTTGGAATATATGCTGGTGAATTTGGGGTTAGGCTCATTATGCTCCACCCTTGTTGCTGACACTTGTAACCAATCATGTTTTAAGAAAAGTATTTAATTTTAATGAATTTTAAGCATTTAAATCTAATAATTTTAATAATAAAAATAATTTAATGAAAAGCTGTATTCATAACTATAAAAAGAGTGTTTGGATTTCTTTACTCATGAAATTTATTAATATTATTGTAATAAGAAATGTTTATTGTAATAAGAAATATTATTATTAAACTATTTCATTATTTTGATGGGAAGCAATCATTTTATTGTAGGTACATACTATTGTATATACATGGAGTTATTGGCAATACTATGCCAACTTTTAGTAGCTGCTATAAAATGCAAACAATGAAAATTCTTTGGTTTTCATTGCACAGATAATATTAATAAAAAAATGATATTTATGTGCAAAGAGAAATATGTTCCGTAATAAAATTTCTGATATTGTTGATTCTAAATTTGATAATAGCTATATGGTATATACCAAGAATTATTCGGCCGTTCCGTGGCAAAAACAACGTAACTTGAAATTTTCTGCCGCGTAATCTTGTAATTACATTGTTTTGCCACAGAAAATCACTAAATTTTAAGTTTTGTGCTTAAAGATATGTGGTACTATCTCCGAAACCACTCATTATAGAGACCTGAAATTTGTACAGGTCATTCAGACGTGTTTAATATACTCCCAAATGATATTATCTCAAAATGGACAAAAATGTCAGTTACGTTTTTTTTTGCCTCGGGACGGCCGTATTGCTTACAAATATTCAGATTTCATGAGTCTGGATAAACCCTATCCAGACTATCATATTTTATGAAAATACTGTTGTATGCCCATATATAGTCATGGTGAGCCTATATATGGTCATGATGTGGTGTCATCATGACCATATTTAGGCAAGTCACATGTCATGTGTGTGCCTAGTTGCCCTTTTATTCAGTAGAACAAAGTATTTCAATGCTGTTTTAGTAGTTTTACTCTGGGTTGACTCCCAATTGTTTTTGTAATTTTTTTTTAAAAGAAGTGTTTTTATGATTTTAATGCTTATGCAACTGCACCCACTTTAAATGTTGCTCATTATACAAATGATATTATGAATTTAATGAATTATTAGCAAATATTCGCATTAGTTAGAAATGATCATGCAAGAAAATTTCACGTGTAAATATAAAGTATTTATTTGTTTTGAACATTTTCTGTCAAACAAAAGTTATATTCTAAGAAATGCTTGCTATTAACTTGTTAAAAATAAGACTGAGAACTTGAGTTGAATATTCCAATTATGCCATTATGCGCAATATAAATACCAAAACATGTCTATTTCTGTGATGGTGGTTTATATATTATTATATTATATTTAAATAAGTTCAGTGTGTGTGTGAAGGGTCTAGGAATGGTGTATACTTCAGAAAATTGGAAAGCTGTTGGTGAGCACATACCTGTGTCAGAAATTTGTTAACAATTTTAATATATTTTACAGTTTTAATATTAATATGATGGTTTGCTACTATCTAAAATTTAAAAATGTAACCGTCTTTTCATTATAGAAGGTGCCCAATATACAGGTATTAATGTTACATAAATTAATCTTGCATAAATGAATGGAATTTTTAATGTTGCATAAAATTAATTTATGCATTCTCATATTTTTTAAGGCAGGGTCTATTATTATGCAGAAGATTATTATATATGCGTGAATAATTTTGGTAGGATTGTAATTTTTTATCATGTCCTACTCCTTAAACCATGTAATACTTTATCAAATTGAATGTATATATTATTGTTATTTGTTTCTAAATTGATTTATGTTTTACATATTTTCTAATGTATTAGAAGAAAATATCTAGGAAAACCTGAAGTTTATTTCTTTTTTCAAAATAAAATCCAAAACAAAGTACTTAGTTTTGTGCAAATTAATGCATGTGCTTATTAGTGTGTGTGTCTATGTGTATGGACTGTCTAGGACTCCTCCTGAAATGGGGGATGTTGGGGGTCGTGTGAAGGTGGTGTGCAGTGTTATTAAGTGAGGGGTGATAGGACGCAAAATATGGCAATAGATATGTGGTAATTTTTAACAACTTGAGCGTGGTTCCTTTTCTTCGGACATATTTAATTGTGGGAGACAGGGCACAAGATTTTTGGGGCCATACTTCCCACATGCCCCCCTAGATAAGCCACTGGTCTGTGCATTTATGTAAATGCAAATGAGTGAATTTCCAACAGGAGAGGATCACTCCATTTTCGCTCTTAAAAGTTTCTTTGATAAACACGTCTTTTTTTCCTCTTGCATTTTGAGTGAACCTGTAGGCTGTAGGTATGGAATATTTTTACATTCAGACTAGAGTGGTATTTTTTGCCTATTAAACATAATCATAATTATTAATCATAATTATGATTAAAATAGTAAAAAAATAGTAATGGATATATTAATAATGATTGTGATGATAATAAAAAGGAATAAATTATTATGTCTAATGAATTCGTAATAATTAAATATACAAATTTATTGAAATTTATCAAGTTTTTACACCAAATAGAGAATAAAGTCATGGAACAAAAATATAAAAGAATAAATATTAGATCAATAAACCACTTTAAATCAAAATGCATTCATTTCAAACATGATTTATAAATTCTGATATTGTTTGCAACAAGGCTACAGGTAGCGTGTTCATTAAAAGTGAAGTGCGCCCTCTTTAATATAATGGAGTTAAGTTTACTATGTGTCCTTGGTATATTAATTTTATCACACTACCTATCATGTAAAGGCATCGTACAATTGATCGTTTATTATAAGTGCTCTTGGACGGATATCTACAGTGAAAGAGGTTGCTTCCGGTGATGATTATGTGAGTGCAAGAGTGCAGCAACCGGCGGTAAGTAAACGCGCATCCTTCTATCGGTAAAGAGGTCGCTAAAACAACGATTGTATCTATTCACCTATCTTGCAATCTATGCGAATTTATATCTATAAAGAGTATAGCTATGGTAATTATACTACAGATAAGTAAAACAAGACAATGTGAATGATGATAGGCCTATTGGTGATGATGATGGTGATGACGATGACAATGATTTAGTAATAAATATTTATCGATTGTAAGATTTATTATTTAGACCTTCAAATTAATGGCTAAATGGCCAAAAAATAAAATTTTATTTTTATTCAAAATCATCAATTTTGACTGTCGGAGGGATCGTTAACCAAGGTAAAAAAAAAGTATCGCCTTATGTTGAATGATATTGTGGAAAACGTATAGGTCTCTCAAATAAATACATATTCTTTTTATACGTCTATACATACCTATACCTATTTAATGAAGCTTTGCTTTTTTATATTAAGCCTATTAATTAACAATAATCGATACGGGAGTCTTGAGAGCGATTTTTTTTAGTTGACTACAAATTCAACTCTTTGGAGAAAAACATGTTTAGGCCTAGTTACTGCCACCTGACAATTGAGAAAAATATTATTTCAGGATCATTGACGTTTTTTTTTTTTTGTTTTTTTTTTTTTTTTTGTGAATAAGCACGAATCTGGTTCATTTTTCATCAGACCGGAATCTCGGATACGAAAGTACCAACATGGTATAACACTCAGGATGAATACAAGCTTCTCGCAGTGGATAAAAACGAACTTGGTAAACCACCCAGTGGTTGAGTAAGAACTTGGTAAATCACCCAGCGCTTGAGTACGAACTTGGTAAACCACCTAGTGGTTGAGTACGAACTTGGTAAATCACCCAGTGCTTGAGTACGAACTTGGTAAATCACCCAGTGGATGAAGACGAACTTGGTAAATCTGTAAGTAGATGAGTAGGCCTACGGATTTTGTACAGTCTCAATAGATGAGTATGAACTTGGTAAATCACCCAGTTGATGAGTACGAACTCGGTAAATCACTCAGTGGATGAGTAGAACTTGGTAAATCACCCAGTGAATGAGTACGGATTTTGTACATTTCTCAATAGATAAATATGAACTTGGTAAATCGCCTAGTGGATGAGTACGAACTTGGTAAACCACCCAGCGGATGAGTACGAACTTGGTAAATCTCCTAGCGGATGAGTACGAACTTGGTAAAATCGCCTAGTGGATGAGTACGAACTAGGTAAATCACCCAGTGGATGATTACGAACTAAATCTCCCAGTAGATGAGAATGAACTTGGTGAATCTCTCAGTGGATGAGTCTTATACCATAGTCGATATTCTAGTCTGGCTTAAATATTTTAGTTCATACCCGAGATAAGTACGACTCTGGTCCTCCCACTTCCATCTGATGAATACGACGTTGGTAATCTGTATGTGGATGAATATTACTCTGGTGGTGTATCTTTTAGATATGAGTAGTTCATGAGTCTGCCTCTCAGTTAATGAGTAGACCCATGACCCTGGACAGTACATCTATTTTAGAGAATGAGGACGAGCCTGTTTCGTCTTGATATTTGAGCAGTTGATTACAAATCTTTTAATTCCAATACAAATAAAATTAATTTGTTTAAAAAGGGAAATTTTGCGCCCAAAAGCGGAATCATTAACCAGACGCAAATTAAGATGAAGACGGGATCCAGTAGATGTTTAAAGCTGATGTTCATATTTATATTCATCGGTAATGTATTTGTATTATATTATATATTATTTATTTATTTAATAACATCTTTATAAAATAAATAAATATATAAATATTAAAATATTCCTATTTAAAGTGTCATTAAATTCATACATGTTATTTGTTTTCTATTATTTCCATATTATCGTATACCGA